CCTGTCACGCCCACATGTACACACACACACACACACACACACACACACACATACACAACCCTTCTCTAGCCTCTTACCTGTCCCGGCTGGGGGACCTCAGAAACAGACCTGGCCCCGGGGATTACTTCTCTAGTTTACTGAGGAAGTGGCTGGGGCTCCACCAGCCCTGTCCACAACCGCCTGCCCCGGCTCCCTCCAGGCCAACTCCATCCTCCCCTCCTGAATTTGGGGGTTTGCTTCCCTGCTTTTCCTCTCACCTTCTCTAAGGCCCTATTGTGTTCCCTCGTCAGTCTGATTTTTGCCCAGGACAAGTGGCCACATAGGAGCACAAGGGCACAGTCTGTGTTCAGCACACTTGGCGCTGCTCTTTGGGGTTTTCAGGACCCTGCTCTTAAGAGAGAATGGGCCAGACTCCCTGCCCTCCAAGCCCAGGTGAGTGCTGGGTGGTGGGAGCACATTTTACCCATGAGTAAAGGGGGTGCCGGGCCAGGGGGGTCAGCTGGGGAGGCCCTCCCTGCTGCCAAGTCGGGGAGCTGGCAGCCAGTCAGGCTGAAGAGCTTTGGAGAACCGCAGCCGGCTGCGTCATCAGTTTCCTAAAATGTGCCTCTCAAGTCGCCCTTCCTCTCCGCCCTCGGTCCCGAGTTGCTCTGTGTGAGTGAAGGACAGCTGTGCCTTCTGGGGTGCCAGCCACAGCCAGGGTGAGGTTATCATGGCCATCCCAGAGCTGGGGCCTGAATCCTCCAGGTTCTCGTTTCTGACCTTTACTAAGGTCAGCCACAAACTTGCCGTCCGTGATGAACCTGCCCTGCCACTGCCCACAGTCCTCGCCCCAGAGGTGGCACCCTTCCACCTCCCTTGACCTCTCTGCAGCACGTGGCTCTGTGGCGCCTCTACCCTGAAAGCAGTGAGAAAGGCAGGGACGTGGGGGATGAAGTTCCTGTGGCCTCTTCCTCTCTGTCCTGTGGACTGGGCTGGGAGAGGCTCAGTTCCTGCCTCCCACGTGAGAGCAGCCAGCAGCCTCCCCACCCTGCCTCCCTCACATAACTCTGCAGAGTCAGAACCAGGCTTTGGAATTGCACGAGGCGGTCGCTCCAGCCTGTCTGACAGCTCTGTGGGTGCCAGTGAGGAAACTGAGGCCCAGGAAGACAGCTGACTTGTTCCTGGACTTCTAGTAAGTTTACAGAGGAGCTAAATTTTAACAGATCTTTTTTGTTGTTGTTTTGAGACAGAGTCTCAGTCTGTCGCCAGGCTGGGGTGCAGCGGCGTGATCTCGGCTCACTGCAACTTCCACCTCCCGGGTTCAAGCAATTCTCCTGCCTCAGCCTCCCACGTAGCTGGAACTACAGGCGTGTGCCACCACACCCGGATAATTTTTGTATTTTTAGTGGAGACGGGGTTTCACCATGTTGCCCAGGCTGATCTCGAACTCCTGAGCTCAAGTGACCCGCCCACCTCAGCCTCCCAAAGTGTTGGGATTACAGGCGTGAGCCACCACGTTCGGCATGTAGTATATTTTAAATGTTTATTTTGAACAGAATAATGCTTTTCACACCCATATGGAATGGTGTGACTGCTATGCACAAGATAACTGATAAAAAAACAAAGCAAAGCAAAGCATTGTGCACTGAAAAGCTGGGAGAGGCCTAATTAAAGTTGTTTAAGGAGTGTGCCATGCCTGACCCTGTCTTTCCTTGCTTGCCCATCAGCCTAATTCGGGAGGAGATTGAGCCTGCCTCTGAGGAGGTCCCGGTGATTGGGCACCTCAGGCCTCCCCAGGTCTGGGCCTGGTCGTGGGGTTTCCACACTTGGCTATTTGGGGTCTGGGGCTGCCTGGGTCCCGTCCCTGAGGAAGCCCCCTGGGAAGTGTTGGGTCTAATCTGGAAGAGCAGGTGGGGTAGAGGGACCGTGTGGTAGAGGTGGGTGGCCTGAACCCCCATGTGGCCAGGTGCTGGCGGTCTGCGCACTGCCCCTGCTGGTCGTGATGGAAATGGCTGACACTGGCCTAGAAAGGCGGTTCTCAAAGCTGGCCTCAGGCCTCTCAGGGGTCCCCCAATGCCTCTCTGGAGACCACAGGGTCAAAAGTGTTTTCATAAGAAGAAGAATAGGACTCTTGTTTCATCCTCTCACAAATATACAGAAAAGGAGAAGTTTATTGATGTGGTTTCAGATGCCACGCTGGAACTAATGTGTAAGAAATGAACATCTGTAGAGTTTTGGTGCAATATCAAAGAAAAATATTTACAATTTCCTGGAAAGTAAAAAAAAGTCCTCCTTCCCTCAGCCATCATACATGTTTGTCTGGATGTCCTGGATTATTTCAACGAACAACCTATCACAAACACCGGAATGAAAAGTCATATGTGAATATCCAGTCATTCTATTGTGAAGCCAAACATTAAAAGGAGTTGTAAAAATGTAAAACAATGTCATTTGTCTAATTGGGTTTTTTTTTTTTTTGAGACAGAGTTTTGCTCTTGTTACCCAGACTGGAGTGCAATGGCGCGATCTCGGCTCACCGCAACCTCCGCCTCCCGGGTTCAGGCAATTCTCCTGCCTCAGCCTCCTGAGTAGCTGGGATTACAGGCACGTGCCACCATGCCCAGCTAATTTTTTGTATTTTTAGTAGAGACGTAGTTTCACCATGTGGTCTCGATCTCTTGACCTCGTGATCCACCTGCCTCGGCCTCCCAATGTGCTGGGATTACAGGCTTGAGCCACTGTGCCCGGCCCTGTCTAATTGTTTTTTCATAAACTGTAAATTATGTGATCATCTAATGGGTTTATTATTTTTAGTGGATTAGCAAAGTTTTAAAGATTTTCTCAGTTTTAATTTCAGTATGATGACTATCAATGGTCATAGCCCACGTATTTTGGAGTCCTCAAGAATTTTTTTTTTTTTTTTTGGACTGAGTCTAGCTCTTGTTGCCCAGGCTGGAGTGCAGTGGTTCGATCTCGGCTCACTGCAGCCTTCGCCTCCCACGTTCAAGCGATTCTCCTGTGTTGGCCTCCTGAGCAACTGGGATTACAGGCGTCCAGCACCCTCCCCAGCTGATTGTTTTGTATTTTTAATAGAGGCAGAGTTTGACCACATTGGCCAGGCTGGTCTTGAACTCCTGACACCAAGCAATCCTCCCACCTTGGCCTCCCAAAATGCTGGGATTACAGGCCTGAGCCACCATTTCTGGCCTCAGTAATTTTTTTATAGCATTTTGTTGTTGTTTTGAGATAGAGTCTTGCTCTGTCACCTAGGCTGAATTACAGTGGCGAAATCGTGGCTCACCACTGCCTTGACCTCCCGGGTTTAGACCATCTCCCGCCTCAGCTTCTGGAGTAGCTGGCACTACAGGCATGAACCACACCCAGCTAATTTTTGTTCTTTTTGTGGAGACAGGGTTTCATCATCTTGCCCAGGCTGGTCTCAAACTCCTGGGCTCAAGTGATCTGCCCACTTTGGCCTCCCAAGGTGCTGGGATTATAGGTATGAGCTACTTTGTCTGGCCTATGAATGAGTTGTAATTCATTTTTATTTTCATGGTCTGTATTCGTGCTGAAGTTGTAATTCATAGACCATAACATTCACACTTTTAAAGGGTACAATTGAGTGGTTTTCATATGTTTACAAAATTGTGTAACCATCACCACTGTCTAATGCCAGGACATTTTATCAGCCCAAAAAGAAGTCCCGAGCCCATGGGCATTCTCTTTCCCTCTTCCCGCAACCCCAACAACCACTTACCACTTTCTGCCTCTAGATTTGTGATTCTGGGCCTGTCTTATATAAACAGATTCACACAGTTCGTGGTCTTTCATGACTGACTTTTCTTAGCATGTTTTAAAGGTTCATCCAATTTCAGCTGATACAAGCACTTCATTCCTTTTTACGGCCAATTCACATTCCATTGTATGGATACGGCACATTCTTCTCATTCATCAGTTGATGGGTATTTTGGTTGTCTCTACTTTTTGGCTATTATGAATCATGCTGCTAAGAAGATCTGTGTCCAGGTTTTGGTGAGGACGTGTGTTTTCGGTATTCTTGTGTATATGATTAGGAGTAGAGTTTCTGGATCATACGACAAGTCTGTGTTCAACATTTTGAGGAAGTGTCAAATGGATTTTGAACCTGGATATATTTTAAGTGTGTAAGGCGGTCCTGAGTTCGAGAAGCACTGGTCTAGCTGGGATTAGACCGGGGGAGTGTGGATGACTCAGGAGAGCCCCTCGTACTTGCCCTGGCATTGAGATACCCCAGCCTCATCGCACACTCCCTCCGGAATGCACGCGCGGCATCCTCAGAGCAGAGAACCAAAGGAGATCCTGCCCTTGGAGGCGAGGAGAAAGCAGCTGTGCCAGGCGGTACATGGGGGAAGCCATCGGGTTCTGGGTCACCTCCCTGTGGGGTCCTCAGGCTGCCATGCTCATGGCAGTGTCTGTGGACAGCACCCCTTGGCATGGTGCTGGCTGGTGATTGTGGCTGCAGCTGCCACCCCTGGTATCTTCCCTGCCCTAGAGAGCTTTGTGATTGTCGGTGTGGACCTCTGGGAAGGAGCGCCGGGTCCCCAGGTTTGGGAGCGGGGTAGGGCTTCCCAGGCAGCCCTCCTGGGTGATGTGCTTGGTGCGCCCCTGCTGTACTGGGAGGGGCGGGGAGCAGGTGGCCTCCAGGGGTGGCCGGCTGAGTTGAAAACTACTAAGGATGTGTCTGTTCTCTCATTTCTGATGACGCTTTGGTGTCCTGGCAGTCACGTTCACTCTGGTCACTCAGCCACAGGATCCACCTGGTCACCCTTCCCAGAACCACGAGCTTTCTGAAAAGGAGGCTTGAGGGAACAGTGGTTTGCTCGAGAGGTGATTCTCACAGTGAGAGTCCAGGCATTGGTGGGAGAGTGTGTGGAAGGGGTAGAAGGGCCAAGCGTCTCGTGCCTGGGTTCGCCAGGATCCTATCTGCCATCCATACCCCAGCCAGTGATGCTCACTCTTTCTTTTCCCTCTCATCATTCCAGATGTGACTCCCCACCCACCGCCGGGTGCCCCAAGTATGGCTGACACCATCTTCGGCAGTGGGAATGACCAGTGGGTCTGCCCCAACGATCGGCAGCTGGCCCTGCGTGCCAAGTGAGTACCTTGGGGCCCCAGGGCTTCCCTCATCCTGCCTCCCTGCTTCTCTCCTGCCTGCAGCAAGATGCATTCCCAGGGGCCCAGAAAGAAAGGTTTGGAGAGAAGTGCCTGCTGGACACACACCACAGTCCTGACCCTGAGCTGGACACTTACCATGGCCATTAACTCATTCGACTGCCATGCAGAACTTATCCCCATTTCCCAGACAAGGAAGGTGAGGCTGAGCTCCCTGCCCATGTCACTCTGTGCGTGGCAGGGCTGTGACCCACACCTCGGTCCAGCTGACTCCTAAGCCTGTATTCTTTCTCTCACATCAGGCTGCAGGGCCTAACCTACACCACCTCATTGCCTTCTCTCTTGTCACTGAGTGTTAGAACTGCAAGCCCCTTAAGGCAGGCAAGGAGCCTTTGATCTCTGGATATCCACTCCATAGCCACATGCTTGGCACTGTCAGATGGGGGGACAGAGGTCTGTTGAATGAATGAGGCGCTGCCCCTCAGGCTGAAGCACCAGTCACCTCTGACGTTCCTGGGTCTTCCCCACGCGCTCCTGAGAATCTCACTAGTTCCTGGCTTCTGGCTTCTTCCCTTCGGGGTCCTGGCTTTTTTTTTTTTTTTTTTTTTTTTTTTTGGAGATGGAGTCTCACTCTTTCGCCCAGGCTGGAGTACAGTGGTGTGATCTCAGCTTACAGCAACCTCTGCCTCCTGGATTCAAGCGATTCTCCTGCCTCAGCCTCCCGAGTAGCTGGGATTACAGGCACCCACTACCACAATGTGCTAATTTTTGTATTTTTAGTAGAGACGGGATTTCACCATCTTGGCCAGATCTTGAACTCCTGACCTCGTGATCAACCTACCTTGGCCTCCCAAAGTGCTGGGATTACAGGTGTGAATCACTGTGCCTGGCTTTTTTTTTTTTTTTTTTTTTATGGAGTCTCACTCTCACCCAGACTGGAATGCAGTGGCGTGATCTCAGTTCACTGCAGCCTCTGCCTCCCTGGTTCAAGTGATTCTCTTGCCTCAGCCTCCTGAGTAGCTGGGATTACAGGCGCCTGCTACCACAGTGGTATTGTGTATTTTAAGTAGAGATGGGGTTTCACCATGTTGGCCAGGCTGGTCTTGATCTCTTGACCTCAATCTGCCTCCCTCTGCCTCCCAAAGTGCTGGGATGACAGGTGTGAGCCACCGCGCCCAGCCCTGGTTTTCCTGCTATCCCTCAGCCTAGTGACCTCTCAGCTCCGGGTGGGGTAGGTCATCTCCGCAGATTGTCCACCGTGGCTGGAGCTGGGGGCTCTCGGGCCTCGCCTGCCTCGCCTGCCTTCCAGTCCCTCCCTCTCCCTCCAAGGGGCTTGAGGGGTCTCTGCGTCTGGTAAGTCCAAAAGGGACCCTTCATTCATCAGCCCATGCCAATGAAGGGAGCCAGCATTTCCCAAATGGGACCAGATTCAAAATATTTGCAATTAGATGTTACGAGTCTACAGGGGACAGAATGGAGACATCAAAGGCAGATAGAGAAATGAATTGGAAACGCCCAGGAAGAGTGGAGTGATTCGTGATTTGCAGGAGGCTTTGCACCACAGTTAATTTGTCCCCTTCATCAGGAGGGCTCAGCTCCTTCGTGCAGCCCTGCAGGGGATAAGGTTGGCCCCTCTCCGTCTCTGTGCTCTGATGCCAGGCAGCTGACGCGTCCTCCCAGGCAGGGTTGGGGTTTCTAAGGAGAGCTCCACTACTGTTCTCGTCCAGGGCCCAGCAGGGTCCTGATCCCTCCAGGGTTTTCTTAAGCTCTCGCTGACCTTGTTTCGCTCAGCAGCGGCCAGAAGCTGTTGTAGCACCTTTAGAGGAGAGAGTGTACTGCCTCAGAACGCCTGGCAGTCTCTGGACAGGAGCAGTGTGTGAATCTCCGGCTGCAGAGCCGGGAGCTGTGCCCTGTGGGGCCCTTGGGGAAGTCTGGGCTGCGGCTCAGGGCTCCCCTCAGTCCTCCAGCTACCATCAGACATTTTCAAACCCGCCACTCCGTGCCAGGCACTGACTGCACAGAAGTGAAAAGGACCAGCACAGTCTCCTGGTTTTAAAGCATAGGTGGGCAGAGGTGAGCGTTATTGCAGTAGTTACCCAGGTAGGTGGCTTTGACGGTGATAACAGGCAGTGGGGACGTGGGGTGAAGGTGCTAACCTAGTCTGGGGATCAGGAGGGGCTTCCCTGAGACTGTGCTGCCTACACTGAGACCCAGAAGATGGGTGAATGTTAGATGGGAGTGGGAAGGAAGCACTTCCAGGCAGAAGGAGCAGCACGTGCAAGGGCCCCGAGGCAGAGGGAACAGCATGTGCAAAGGTCTTGAGGTGGAAGAAACAGCATGTGCAAAGGCCCTGAGGCAGAAGGAGCAGGGCGTGTGGAGGCCCCGGCAGGAGGTCAGTGCATTCTTAGTGCAGAGTAAAGGGTGGACAGTGTGAAAGGAAGACGGAGAGGTGGTCAGGGGCCTGGGGCAGCCTGGTCCTCCAGAGACTCACGTTCTGGTGGGGAGATATGGAGGGTTTCATTTTGTCTTGCAATAATGTTTAAGCCTGATGAAGTACATATGCCCAGGCCTTCCAGAAACTCTGAGAATGGATTCTTTACCTGTTTTGGGGGGATCAAGGAAAAGCCTCCAGGTGAAAGTCATGTGTAAAAGAGTCTTCAAAAAGAATAGACCAGGTGCAGTGGCTCACACCTGTAACCCTAGCACTTTGGGAGGCCGAGGTGAGCAGATCACCTGAGGTCAGGAGTTTGAGACCATCCTGGCTAACATGGTGAAACCCTATCTCTACTAAAAGTTTAAAAATTAGCTGGGCGTGGTGGTGCGCATCTGTAGTCCCAGCTACTCGGGAGGGAGGCTGAGACAGGAGAATCACTTGAACCCAGGAGGCAGAGGTGACGGTGAGCTGAGATTGCGTCACTGTATGCCAGCCTGGGCGACAGAGTGAGACTCCCTCTCAAAATATAAATGAATGAATGAATGGAATAGGAGTGAGAGGTGGACCAAAGGTTTAGGGAGAGAGAGGTACCCCAGGTGAAGGGTGCAGCACGAACAAAGGCCTGGGGACCGCACGAAGCCCAGAACACAAGGGAGCAACTGGCAAGGCAGGTGAGCTGGGAGATGAGGGCTCCGTGCGGGCAATGTGTCAGGGAATGGCAGGTGGGGCTCCCGGGTGTGCAGGGACTGCAGGTTCTTCTTGGAGGCTGCAGCTCATCAATGTCAGGTGGCCTCAGGTCACCTCCTTGGGCTGTTTGGAAGGGGCATTGCAGCTGGGGTGGGGGCAGCGTGCTCAGTGGAGGGTTGGGGCCTGCCTCGTGGGGTGACTATGAGGGTCCAGGCCTGCCTTGTGAGGTGACTGAGGATCTGGGTCTGCCTCGTGGGGTGACTGTGGGTCCGGATAGGCTTCGTGGGGAGACTGAGGGTCCGGGTCTGCCTCGTGAGGTGACTGAGGGTCCGGGCCTGCCTCGTGACGTGACTGAGGGTCCGGGCCAGCCTTGTGGGGTGACTGAGGGTCTGGGCCTGCCTCATAGGGTGACTGAGGGTCTGGATCTGCCTCGTGGGGTGACTGAGGGTCCGGGTCTGCCTCGTGGGGTGACTGAGGGTCCGGGTCTGCCTCGTGGGGTGACTGAGGGTCCGGGTCTGCCTTGTGGGGTGACTGAGGGTCCGGGTCTGCCTCGTGGGGTGACTGAGGGTTCGATGGAAGATATCTGGTGTCTTGGGCTAGCACCAGTGCTAGAATGAGCTCATGGGACCTGCGCCCATCAGGACAGGCAGTGGTGGAGCTGATGCCTGTGCCCGTCAGGACAGGTGGGGTAGAGCTGATGCCTGTGCCCGTCAGGACAGGTGGTGATGGAGTTGATGCCTGTGCCCGTCAGGACAGTTGGGATAGAGCTGATTCCTGTGCCTGTCAGGACAGGTGGGGTAGAGCTGATGCCTGTGCCCGTCAGGACAGGTGGGGTGGAGCTGATGCCTGTGCCCACAGGACAGGTGGTGGTGGCGGAGCTGATGCCTGTGCCCGCCAGGACAGGTGGAGTAGAGCTGATGCCTGTGCCCACCAGGACAGGTGGGGTGGAGCTGATGCCTGTGCCCGTCAAGACAGGTGGTGGTGGCGGAGCTGATGCCTGTGCCCATCAGGACAGGTGGTAGTGGCAGAGCTGATGCCTGTGCCTGTCAGGACAGGTGGTGGTGGCGGAGCTGATGCCTGTGCCCATCAGGACAGGTGGGGTGGAGCTGATGCCTGTGCCCATCAGGACAGGTGGGATGGAGCTGATGCCTGTGCCCATCAGGACAGGTGGTGGTGGCAGAGCTGATGCCTGTGCCCGTCAGGACAGGTGGGGTGGAGCTGATGCCTGTGCCGGTCAGGACAGGTGGGGTGGAGCTGATGCCTGTGCCGGTCAGGACAGGTGGGGTGGAGCTGATGCCTGTGCCCGTCAGGACAGGTGGGATGGAGCTGATGCCTGTGCCCACCCTTCTGTGTGTTCCCAGAAGCCTTCCTTTCTGTTCTTTAGCTGGAGGGTGGGGGAGTGGGGATTCCCTGAACCTGGGGGTCCTGGCTTCCACCTCCTTTCCCCTGGTCTGGGGGCCACATGACTGTGTCCTGGCCCACCACTGACCCCTTGAGCCTCTGAAATGCTCAGATGGAGCAAAGCAGTAGGTGGCGTCGGGGAGGGGATGTTGCTTTTCAGGGCCTGAACCCTGAATGTGTCCAGCTCACAGGAGCAAGGCCGGCGGTCCAGGCAGAGGCAGGCCTTGCCGCCCTTCCAGCCCTGCCCTGTTGCCCCGTCATTTGCCTTCCCCAGCCCCGTGAAGATGGCTTGAATAGTGTCAGTCTAGGGCAGTGTATTTTTTTTTTTTTATTGGAAAAACCGGCAGTGTAGAAGTATGGACCCCTGAAGCACCACACCCCCTGCCCCCTACCCCCCACCCCCCGCCGCCCACCCCCGCCTTTGTGTGTGATCTCCTCTGCCTGAACCCGCCTCCTTCCCACACACGCTGCCTCTTTGGCAAGCCATGCCTGATGCCCCACCCATAAGTATAGTTATCACCATTAACTGCCATTCGTAGACAACTGGGCGTTTGAGTGAAAGCACCTTGTCTGCCCTCCTCATGTAATCCTCATGGCATCCTGCTAAAGAGATCAGAAAACCAAGGGCGAGAACCTCATCCGAGGTATCCCAGCTGGGCAGGGATGGGAGCAGTGGACTCCAAAGCCTACATCTTCACAGTCGTCAGCCCCCAGCCCCTCATTACAGAGCAGGGAGATGCTTATTCGCTCTCCAAACTCCTACCGTGTGGACCACTGACAACCCGTAGCTGCAACAGCTGGGACCTGGCAGGATGTGAGACCCCAGGGCCCATCTGTGTCAGGGGCCCCAGGAAAGTCTCCGCCTCCCTCAGCCTCCTGCCTTAGGTCCTGCTTCCAGGACTCATGGCTTCTGACACGTCCCTGAAGAAGGGAAGCCTTACAGGAGCCCCATCCCCTCCCTGTGGGTCATTGTCTCGTGTATCCGCTTCCTGATGCTGCCTGCACATCCCACCGAGCAGCCTGTCCCTGGCACCAGGAGGCCAGGCATCCCCACGGGCACCCGCTAATGTGCTGAGACCTGTTAGCTAAATGAGTGCTCCTTGTTGACTTGGCAGCTGCCTCCCCACCACAGTGTAGCTCTTCAGGGTCATCGACTTTCCATCTCGTTCATTCCCCACTCACAGGCTGTCTCAGGGAGGCTGGGACCCACCCAGGGCAGGGGGTTTGGGGCTTGAGCTGCTGCCGCTCTCTCCCTGTCCAGAAAAACAGAGGAACAGTCCACCCCAGTTACGGTCTCAGGAGGGGTCACTGCTGGAGACCAGCAGAGCAGAGACAGCTAAGCCTCCCAGCCCCTCCCAGCCCCACGCCTCGAGGTTGCCTGCCGTCACCACGCCTCACCATGCCTCACCATGCCTCACACGGCCCTCACCACGCCTCACCACCGCCCTCATCACTCCTCACCATGCCTCACCAGTGCCCTCACCACACCTCACCACGGCCCTTACCACGCCTCACCACGACCCTCACCATGCCTCACCACGACCCTCACCATGCCTCACCACGGCCCTCACCACGCCTCACGAGTGCCTTCACCACGGCCCTCACCACGCTTCACACTGCCCTCTCCACACCGCCTCTTGTGAAACTCTCTTTCTCCTCCTGCCCTGAACCTGCCAGTTCTCACAACGTTCTATCGGCAGGTGTGTCTGCCCTGACCACACTGCTTTCGTGTTCCTGCGAAGCTCTATCTCCCTCCCTCATGGCCTCGGGCCTTACCTTTCCTTCTGACCATCTTTCATGCTCCTCCCTTGACGCCTCACGTGCCGTGACCTTGGCCTTCTCTGTGTGCCTGAGGGTCATGTTCTGGGCTTCGGCCTCCCCCACTAAGTTGCTGCCGTCTTTGCCGAGGCCGAGGAACGGGCAGATGGCAGGGCTGGCACTTGGAGCCCCTCTCTGGCCTGCATGCCTCAGCCCAGCACAGGGCACCTGTGCTGCCCGCTGGCTGCTGTCAGATCTGGTGGATGTGGGGGGCTGCCCGCCGGCTGCTCTCAGATCTGGTGGATGTGGGGGAGCTGCCCACTGGCTGCTCTCAGGCCTGGTGGATATGGGGGGCTGCCCCCTGGCTGCTGTCAGGCCTGGTGGATGTGGGGTGCTGTCCGCTGGCTGCTGTCAGATCTGGTGGATGTGGGGGGCTGCCTGCTGGCTGCTGTCAGATCTGGTGATTGTGGGGGGCTGCCCGCTGGCTGCTGCCATATCTGGTGATTGTGGGGGGCTGCTTGCTGGCTGCTGTCAGATCTGGTGATTGTCGGGGGCTGCCCGCCGGCTGCTGTCAGATCTGGTGATTGTTGGGGGCTGCCTGCTGGCTGCTCTCAGATCTGGTGGATGTGAGGGAGCTGCCTGCTGGCTGCTCTCAGATCTGGTGGATGTGGGGGGCTGCCCGCTGGCTGCTCTCAGATCTGGTGGATGTCGGGGAGCTGCCCGCTGGCTGCTCTCAGATCTGGTGGATGTGGGGGCTGCCCGCTGGCTGCTGTCAGATTTGGTGGATTTGGGGGTTGTCCGCCGGCTGCTCTCAGATCTGATGGATGTGGGGGGCTGCCCGCCGGCTGCTCTCAGATCTGGTGGATGTGGGGGAGCTCCCCACTGGCTGCTGTCAGGTCTGGTGGATGTGGGGGGCTACCTGCTGGCTGCTGTCAGGCCTGGCGGATGTGGGGGGCTGCCCGCTGGCTGCTGTCAGGCCTGGCGGATGTCAGGGGCTGCCCGCTGGCTGCTCTCAGATCTGGTGGATGTGGTGGGCTGCCCGCTGGCTGCTCTCAGATCTCTTGGATGTGGGGGGCTACCCTCTGGCTGCTCTCAGATCTGGTGGATGTGGGGGGCTGCCCGCCGGCTGCTCTCAGATCTGGTGGATGTGGGGGAGCTGCCCACTGGGTGCTGTCAGGCCTGGTGGATGTGGGGGCTGCCCGCTGGCTTCTCTCAGATCTGATGGATGTGGGGGGCTGCCCGCTAGCTGCTCTCAGATCTGGTGGATGTGGGGGGGCTTCCCGCTGGCTGCTGTCGGGCCTGGTAGATATGGTGGTGCTGCCCACTGGCTGCTCTCAGATACGGTGGATGTAGGGGGGCTGCCCTCTGGCTGCTCTCAGATATGGTGGACGTAGGGGAGCTGTCCTCTGGCTACTCTCAGGCCTGGTGGATATGGGGGGGCTGCCTGCTGGCTTTCTCGGGCCTGGTGGATATGGGGGGCTGCCCTCTGGCTACTGTCAGGCCTGGTGGATATAAGGGTGCTGCCTGCTGGCTGTCTCGGGCCTGGTGGATGTGGGGGTTGCCCGCTGGCTGTCTGGGGCCTGATGGATGTGGCGGGGGTGCTGCTGGGGTTCGCACTGCCTCGGCCTCAGCGTCATTTGTGCTGTTCCCTCTCCAGGCTGCACACGGGCTGGTCTGTGCACACCTACCAGACGGAGAAGCAGAGGAGGGACCAGCACCTCAGCCCCACAGAGGTGGAGGCTATCCTGCAGGTTATCCAGAGGGCCGAGCGGCTGGACATCCTGGAGCAGCAGAGAATCGGGTGAGCCGCCAGAGCCAGCTCAGCAGGAGGGCAGCAGGGGCTCTGGTGCCAGCCCGGGGGACTGGGAGGCTGGCCCTCTGGCTCCTGCTGCTGCTTTTCACATCTGGGAGTGGGTCCGGAAGTTCCTGAACAGCTGGGGAGCTTCAGGATACCCCTGTCGAATGAGGCCAGTGGCTGGGTGTGCGCCTGGGTGTAGGCAGGAATGCTCACAGTGGCAAAGCGCCCCAGGGCTGTTGAGCTCTGCACTCCTGCAGCTGTGCCGGGGTCAGCCAAGGGAGGGAGGGAGGTTCGGCTGCAGGCTGAGCAGGGTCGCCCTCGTCCAGCCTTAACCACAGCTTGTCCTCTAGCACTTTCACTGTGTCCTGTGTTTAGTGACAGAGCAATGCCTCTTTCCTAGAAACTCTGGAAACAGAAAAGCAGGAGTAGGGAACATGGATGCAGGGCCTTGATTGGAATTGATTTCATTCTGGTTTCCTGCATGGCTTGTATCTTTCTTTTTTAACTTTTGAGACGGGTCTCACTCTGTCGTCTAGGCCGGAGAGCAGTTCCGATCACAGATCCCAGCAGCCTCAGCTTCCTGGGCTCCAGCCATCCCCCTCAAGTAGCCAGGACTATGGTGTGACCACACACAGCTTTTTTTTTTTAAGACACGGGTTCTCACTATGTTACCCAGGCTGGTCTCTAACTCCTGGGCTCACACGATCCACCTGCCTCAGCTCATAAAGGGCTGAGTTACAGGCAAGAGCCACCCTGCCCAGCCTTCTTATCTTTGCAATGGGAGAAACAGGCCACAAGGGGTGGCTCATTCTTCAGCTGTGAGTCCGTGAGTTCTCCCAGAGAATTCACTGGTCCCCATGGGGCATTTCCCTGTCCCTCAATCTCTCTCTCCCTTCCTCCCCCGTCCATCTTTCTCTCCCTCCCTCCCCCTCACCTCCCTCACCCTCCCTCCTCTCCACCTCCCTCTCCCTCCCTCCCTTCTATCTCCCTCTCCCTCCCTCCCTCCCCCTCATCTCCCTCACCCTCCTTTCCCTCCTCCTCCCTCTCCCTCCCTCCCCTCCATCTCCCTCTTCCTCCCTCCCCTCCCTCCCCATCTCCCTGTTCCTCCCCTCCATCTCCCTCTCCCTCCCTCCCCATCTCCCTCTCCCTCCTTCCCCTCCATCTCCCTCTCCTTCCCTCCCCTTTACCTCCCTCTCCCTCCCTGCCGCACTATTTCCATTTCACAGCACTGCTCTCTATCTGAAATCAGTCTTCTTGTTGACTTGCTCATGAATTTTCTTCCTTACTGAAGGTATGTTCCAGGAGAACAGGGACCATGTCTGTTGGGCTGGTTTGCTGCCATTTCCCCAGCATCTGATGGATCCTAGGTGCTAGGTGAATAGTTGGCAGGTGAATGAAAGATTCACAGTTAGGCAGGGTGAGGAAAGATACCTTCGTGAGGGAACAGCCACGTGGCACAGCTCAGCTCTGGGCCTCAGTGGCAGCTGTGCCGGGCAGTGGTTGGGCTGGAGCTGGAGGCGCATTCCCTCTGACTCTGTGTCCTGGCCACAGGCGGCTGGTGGAGCGGCTGGAGACCCTGCGGGGGAACGTGATGGGGAACGGCCTGTCCCAGTGTCTGCTCTGCGGGGAGGTGCTGGGCTTCCTGGGAAGCTCCTCGGTGTTCTGCAAAGACTGCAGGAAGGTAAGACCCTGCTGCTGCTCCATCCTGTCCTTCCGCCTTCCCAGCCGTGATTCTGGACCAGCCCTGCTCCTCTGTGGCCTGTGCACTGGGTTGTGGTACCCTTGACCTCTTGGCAAGGACGAAGGAAAACCAAACGTCCTGATGTCTAGGGCCGGCTCTGGGTCACGTAGCTTGGGTGTATCTTCTGGCTCTCCCACTGGGTTCACACCCGAGCTTCGAGACCCAGTACTGCTGTTAGAAGTCAGGGTGCGAATCTAGCTCTTCTGTGACCTCAGAAAACCTATTTGCTATCTCAGATCTGAGGTTCCTCATCTGTAAAATACGGTAATGATGCCATGCACCTCACCGTGCTCCGAGGGTTACATATCGTTAAAGGCGAAGCTCTTACAACCTTGCCTGGCACATAGGTGCTCAAATGGTATCGTCTCCAGAATATATTAAGGCAACAAGAAAAATACATTTTTGGTTGTTATTGGATAAATGCTATTTTCCTCAAGGCCAGGTCGTGTGATCGGAGGCACTGTGTATTCTGTTGGTCTGCTCTGCCCTTCATCCCTGGTTATTCAAAGGAGAATGATCTTTGCAGGAGATCAAATCGATTTTCTCCTTATACTAAACTGTACCACATGTTAAATTGTTTTGTAATGATTCTGGGACTTTTTAAATATGACTTTTAGTTTTTTCTGGAGTTTCAACTTGCCTTTCTTTTTCTTATTGCTGAGAGAATACTGCATCTTCCAATCCTCAGGATTAGTCAGCATCTCAAGTTTGCTATCACATGGAGCCTCTTTTTTTTTTTTTTCCCTAGAATAAACCCTTCTAGATTCTCCCTCCTGCTCTCTCCTAGGCTGGTAACTGCACAGCTGTTATAATGGGACTCCCCTTTGCTACCCGACTCCCCTTTGCTACCCTCCTTGGTTAGACACACTGTTCTCTTTTTTTGTTTTCATCTTAGTTTTGCTGGAACTCATCCTCAAGTAACTTCCATGTGCTAGTCATGGTTTTTGTTGTTGTTGTTGTTTTTTTTTAAGACAGAGTCTCACTCTGTCACCCAGGCTGAAGTGCAAATGGTCCAGTCTGGAGTGCAAAAGATCTTAGCCCACTGCAACCTCCACCTCCTGGGTTCAAGTGATTCTCCTGCCTCAGCCTCCTGAGTAGCTGGGATTACAGGCGCGCACCACCACACGCAGCTAATTTTTGTATTTTAGTAGAGATGGGGTTTCGCCATGTTGGCCAGGATGGTCTCCAGCTCCTAACCTCAGCTGAGCCACCAGCCTCAGCCTCCCAAAGTGCTGGGATTAGAGGCGTGAGCCACTGCCCGGCTGCTGGTCATGGTTTTAAGACTGGAGTTATTATACTGAAGAAGACAGAGGAGGAACTTTCTTGAGATCATAGTGGGCAAGGGAACTTAAAAACAAGTAACAATCAAGTGAACAAGTCGGTTTCAGGACACAGTAAACTCTGGGAAGAAATAATAGGGGTTGGGGGGTTCGGGGGGTGGGGGATGGAGGGTGGGGAGGTGGAAAGTGCTGAGAGGACCAGGAGAGATGGAGAAGTCAGGATAAATAAACATGGACGTGGAAGATGGAGGCCATTGGCAACTTGGTAAGGGCATTTTCAGTGGTATTCAAAAGCTCAATGAGAAAACCAAAGGTACAGTGAGGTTAATGTGCCCAGTTAACAAGTGGGAAAGCCAGGATTTCAGCTGCGGTCATTTTTTTTCCTGCTCTGTCATATGTGGTAAACTGGGCTGAGGAATGTGGATTAATTGCTCGAAGAATACTGGAGGGGAGCTGGGGGCTGGTGTCGGGCTGTGCTGGCTCCTTCTTCAGCCCTGCAAAGGCCCTGGACTACTGGTCAATGTAGTTGGAGGCACGGGGACTTGGGAAGGTCCAGCGTCCTGGACTTGGGTGGTGAGGTTATGCTTTGTGACTCCCGCTGGGTGAACGGGACCTGGCAGCCTGTTTCCTCCTCTGTCTCAACCTCACAGCTGCTGTGAATATTCCAGATACAGGGGATCATAAAGAGGCACAGAGCCGGCCTGCTTCCCCCGGACGGTCCAGGGCCCGGGACGCAGAGGCAGCTGCTGGCCTGGCTGTGCAGCAGCTAACACAGCTGCTCCCTGGGGCCACGTCTTAGGCAACAGTGGCTGTCCTGGGGAGGACCTCAGCTGGAAGTGGGTCCCCAGGCCACTCCGGAGCTCTGGGATGCTCCAGGCATTTCCGTTGAAATGATTCTTAGCGTTCAGCAGGCCGAGGACTCAGTTCTGGCGTGGGTGGTGAGGCTGGGGAGCTCTGAGCTTCTGAGGGTCATGTTCCAGGATGGAGGCGGGAGGAGAGGGTGTTAGGAAACACAGCTAGATGGTGGGCATTTGGGGGGTTGGAGGGTTCACACTTCCTTCTTGGAGGAGATTATGTGCATTCATTCTTTAATTAATAGCCCACTGTGTGAAGGCCCTGTTCTGGGTGCTGGCGATACCGTGAACAAGACGGACAGACTCCTCGCTCTCACGGAGATGACTTTCCAGGGGTGGGGTAATAGAGAAGACAAATGGAGCTCAGAGAGGGTTCCCAGAGCCTCTCCCTAGGTGCTCTGCGTGGTGCTCTACTTCATGTTATAGCACTCATGAGGTAGCACTCGGTACACTGAGGAACAGAGAAGGCAAATGGATAAACATGAAGTAGCAATCGGACACCGAGAATTAACGCAGAGTGCATAGGGAGAGGCTTCGGGGCCCTCTCTGACCTCAGGGCATGTTCAAGGGACAGATGATGGCATCTGGGACAGAGAAAGCGGCGGGTTGGCCCATCACACAGTTTGCCAGCAAGGCCAGGAGTTGGGATTTCACCGGGAGTTTAACGGGATGTCAGTGGAGAGTTTTAAGCTGGGGTGTGATGGGATCTGATTTTAAGAGATGACCCTGGCCCTGGAGACAAGTCAGGTGGTGATGGCCGTCCCTGGGGGATGATAGGGTCAGGACAAGGCTATGCAGGGACTGAGGCCATTTGCTGAGACACAGTGCCAGCCTCTTTGGTGTATTCTGAGCAGATGGGAAGGAGTTAGAGGGGGTGAATAAGGGTTCTAGGAAGGAAAGAGCCCTGGACTGCAGGGGCCAGCCAGGGTGAGAGGCCGCTTGGTCCACCTGAGCACAAGGGGGCAGCAGGTGCTCCTGGACTGGCCTGTGAGTTCCGTACCCACGCAGATGCCACGCGATGCTGAGAGCTCATGACCGGATGGGAGGGGCTTATCCATACATTGAGAAGTGACTCCGTGTTCCCGCAAGGGCCTGGCGGGGCAGCTTCCCTCCTCCCTGGCCCCAAGATTGTGAGGTGGCTGTGCCCAGAGCTGCTGAACCCAACAGACTTGGGTTGAGGTCCCTGTGTGGCCCTGGTGGAGCAGTTGTGGACAAGTCACTTCACATCTCTGGGCCTCTGTTTTGCCATCTGTAAAATGGAGTCCTCTGTAAAATGGCATCATCAAGCTTCCCTCATCTTGATGGACGAGTGAGTTAGTGCAGGCGAGGCCTTGGCAGACTGCCTGGTCCATCACCAGCCAGCAGCGAAGGCACCTGTGACTGCTGCTCACCCTCGCAGGGTCCTGCCTGCAGAGGCTGCACACGTGTTATGAGGATAGAGCAGGTCCCAGACATCTCCGAAGAGGCTGAGTGGCTCCCTGGGTCATAGCCCAGGCCGCCACAACAGATCGTCGTGGATTGAACTGGGTGCCCTCAGCACGTTTCATTGGAGGCACAAAACCGAGACCTGGGTGCTGGCTGATTCTGTGTCTGGTGAGGGCACTCTTCCCGGCATGCGGACAGCCACCTTCTTGTGGCCCACGTGGCGAGAGGAGAGGGCTCTAGTCTGTCCTCCTCCTCTTGCTTCTTGTTTTTTGACAGGGTCTCACTGTCACCCAGGCTGGCGTGCAGCGGCGTGGTCATTGCTCACTGCAGCCTCCAACTCCTGGGCTCAAGCAATCTTCCCGCCCCAGCTTCCCAGGTAGCTGAGACAACAGATGTGTGCCACCACGCCTGCCTAATTTTATGTATTTTGTAGACACAGGGCATCTCTCTGTTGCCCAGGCTGGTCTCAAACTGGCCCTCAAGCAATCCTCCACCACAGCTTCCCACAGTGCTGGGATGACAGACCTGAGCCACATCCCTGACCTCTTCCTTTTCTTATGAAGACACTAGTTCTGTTGGATTAGGGCCCCACCCTTGTGACATCATTTTACCTAAATTACCTCCTAAGGACCCTCTCTTCAAATACAGCCCCTGGGGGACACAGTTCAGTCCCCAGCACTGGAATTCTCTTTGTCTTAAACTTAGAACTGGAGCTTCCACAGTTAGTCCCTTGGTGTCAGTAGTTTACATGAAAGCCCTAAAGCCTTTGTAGCGCCAGCACTGGATTCCTGAGCCAGCAGGGAAGCCCTCAGTTTCTGTGCAGGTTGCTCAGTAAATGTCTCACTCAGTCGCTTAGCCTGCTGTGTGCCAGTCCTGGGTTAGGGGGGTCCAAAAAGAGAGGTGTTCACAACGATCTCTTCCCACATGGCCTCAAGGTCACGATGGGCAGATGGGATTCTCTAGAGCAGGCGTCCCCAAACTTTTTACACAGGGGGCCAGTTCACTGTCCCTCAGACCGTTGGAGGGCCGCCACATACTGTGCTCCTCTCACTGACCACCAATGAAAGAGGTGCCCCTTCCTGAATTGTGGCGGGGGGCCAGATAAATGGCCTCAGGGGGCCACAGTTTGGGGATGTCTGCTCTAGAGTGATGTGCACCGTGGCTAGGACTGGAGTTCCCAAGACTCAGAGCAGCCGGGAGGGCTGCCTGGAGGAGGGGGCCCCTGAAGGCCGGGCAAGGCTGAGGGCAGAGGGAAGGGCGTCTGCGGAGGGGCGGAACATTGCCTCACTGCGAGGAAGGTGCCCTCGAGGCAGAGGCGTGTGCGGGAGGAAAAAGCAACACAGGATCTGACTGGGGAGCAGTGACCTCGGAGGAGGGAGGG